TACATAATTATTCAAACTAAAGTACTTTTGTTCTTGGGCTTTATATTTTAAATTTTTGCGCCATTGATAGTTTTATTATAAATCACGTGACTACACACTCCCCTTAACAATTCCACTATATAATACCAGTTGATATGTGTAATTGCACCTGTTAATAAACGAATAAAAATTGGTAATACTAATGCATTATGTTGGGTTATTGTAATCATCTTGGGACATTCCTGTTTCTGAATAATTGCTTTTTGAGAATTATCTGAACATATTTCAATATTACAAACTTCTATAATTAAACATTCAATTTTTTCCTCATTTTTCTTTATCTGTGTTCTTTTCTTAACAAATCCTACTGAGACTTCATTGTTTTTATTTTTTATTATAACATATGGGTATTTTCGCTTGTCTTCTGATACCGGTTGTAATATATTATTCAAAAAGTTAAATAAGAAATGTCTAGGCATTTCTGGTGCTGATATTCCCTTAATCTATCAGGTTAATAATTGAAACCATTTGGCTATGCGTCCTTTTGCTGATAGCCTTGCAATGAAATGATAATATGCCCAACTCATAGTATGTCCAAAAGGTAACATCAATTGGCTAGCATATATAAGTGGATATGAATTTGAAATTCCAATTTTTCGTAATAAATTGAAGCATCTATGTGTTATAAATATTTCTCTAATAGGTATGTTTTCACCACTAATAGTCTATGTTGACCTATTTATGTAATCTTGTTGTATGATAATGTTTAATTTCTGGGCTATAATAATATTATGTAGATTTAGGTTAGATTTTGCTTCTTGATGTCCTAGAAATAATGATTCTGATTTATGTTCAAAAATATTGTCATGTATGGCCAATCACAACTGTACAGTCCTACATCTTATCATTATAGATCTAGATACTGGTGAATTACTATTTATTAGATATAAAAAAGCAGTGATCTGATTTGCGTATATTTGATCTCATGAATTATTAATTCCTAAGATGTATCGATAATATATTGCTGATGTTGGATAATTTCTAGGCAACCCACATATCTGCTTAACTAATTTGATCACTAGAATAAACAAAAGATTCCATTCATTTTCTGATAATGTCATTAATTGGGCCACATATACCACTCTTAGGATAAGAACGTGATTAATAAGATATGCAATATGTCTTACTGTAATACGTTTTCTTTTAATAGAATTCAAAAATTTTTTAATTATATTCTTGATTCTTTTGATTGATCTTTTCCTTAAATTGGAAGAAGAGAAATAGCATCCTAAATACCGTATTTTTTTATCTGTGGCTTAGATCTTTGAGTTGTCATGTTTAATAGTAATATATAATTCATCTCTAGACACTTTAGGATTTATTACCATCAGCTCAGACTTTTTTCCATTTATATTTACATCATGGAAATGATAGAATTGTGTGGCTATATTAATTGATGCCTGAATTTTATCCCCTGAACTATCCAAATAACTCGTATCATCCATATAGGCTATAACTGGTACCCTTAGTCTATATTGTTGCCATATTGATCGATCCTGAATATCTAATGGCCAAGTGTTTACCATTTTATATCCTTGTTGTTGATTGCATGCTTGTTGAATAACTACAAGCAAAGAATCGTAAAAAATTCTTCAGGATAGAGGTGAAATCGCATCATCCTGATCAATACCGTCTCCCACTATGAAGGTTGAACTAGGGTCAAATGCTGTAATTACACTCATTTGTCTATCTTTGAATAATCCTGTAATCTATAAAATAAATTTTTCTGGTATGTCTAGCCTTCTTAGTGCAAGCTGTAAACTCTCTAGACTAACTGAATCGTATACTTTCATCATATCTTGGGTTACCATCCAGAGTTCTTTTCCATTTTCCCTTGCATCTTTAATTATATCATTCATTAAACGTAACAGTATTGCTGTGTCTTTTTCCTTAAGACCGCAAAAATTCAATTCACGTAAAACTTTATTATATATCAAAATTGTACTTAATCGGTTTGTCAATAATTTGGTGACAGATTTTCTGATATTATTTAGCAATGCTATGGAACGCATGTTGGCCAAAATATAATCAAATTTCTGCAGGTTTGAAATCAGATGAATAAGTGACTGTTTCTACTGGTCTGGCACAACTCCTATTTTCAGGAACAAATTAATGATCTTTAATATGATAGAGCTGGATTTGTCTGAACTGTGTTTAATTATAGTATATTTAATGCCTGAAGGGCCTGGCGCTGAGTTTGTGTTCACCTGTTCAAGTGTTTGCTGCCATTCTTCTAACGTTATCTCATCCATTAAATTAGCCATACATTCAGTAAATTCACCTTTTGGCCTATATATATTGCTCCAGAAAATGTCTTGCTCTATCAATTTAGTGTTGCGTTTTCATAAAATTCCTGCAAAAGTATCTTTTGCATGAGTTCTAATTGTATTAGGATCAAGCGCTAGTCTAACACTTTCATTCTCATTGAATATTACTGCTCGATCAATAATAATGTATTTTTTAACAACATCTTATATGGAAAGTAGCCACTTAGGAATATCCGAGTGTATAATGTTGCAACATTTTTCTATGCTATCTTAGATCTTGCTTAAACGTTGTGCTTGTAAATAATTTTTGTCTATTTTAACTCTTTTTTTAATTACATTTTTAACAATATTAATCCATGTGTCACTAAAAAGGCTGTGTATAGGAATAATAATTTTCTCATACTTATCTATGAATTTATCATATTCTTTATTTTTATAATCATCATTATATTTATTAAATCTGTTTAGCCAATAATCTATCCAATGGGCATCTTTGATGGCAATAAAGTCCTGATCTTTACAGATTTTCCTAATTAAACTTTCCAATTTAGTAGTATATCGCATAGTTTTATCTGCAAATATTAACTTATGTCTTGTATTGCAACTTTCTGGATATTTAATTAATTTCATGAGAAGTTCTATATTCATCGTTATAGATATAGCACTTATAATATTATCCCAAAGCTCATTAAATCTACGTTTTATTTTTTCTCCATCAGTGTTCTTTTCATCCCCTAATTGTATTTCATAATTAACTTTTTTTATTAGTTGTTAGAAGTCCTATGCTTCTATTTCCCTATCTAGTGTTTCGATAAAATTTTCTCATTGCACATTGGTTATTTTACTGATATCCACTATATGTTTATCTTGATGTAAATCTGGATCCTGTAATTGATCTGGAACACAATACCGGAAATTGTTCCTAATATATTTAACATTGTTGATATAATACTATGGTGACTGTTTTTGACTATCTGTGATGAGTGCACCAAAAATTCTACTGGAATCACATTGGATTCATGTGTAATCCAGATTTGATCAATCCTTGATTTTGAGATAGAAGTTGATCTATTTTTGTTTTTATCCCATTTCTCATGTGTGAATAACTTGCATCCAGATAGAGAACTTGGCACACATCATAGAGATCTAACTGCAATAATTGTATTAAAAATTAAAATCCTAGTTGTCCAGTGTTGGGCGATCGATCTATTTTATTATTAATTGTATCATTGAAATTGCCTAATACAACGTGCAGTACTATTGTGTTATGAACTGATCGATTATATCCCTCCATAGCCATTTTCAATTCATTGATCAAACTTTTTCTCATGTCTTGATCGTTAGGAGCAGCGTATATTGACCATACTCATATTTCTCTCTGTATGAACAGGAATTTAGCTATTATAATATATGGGGATATGCATACTACTGAGTAATAATGCTTTATCCATCTGTTATGAATCACACTCAAGTGCTGTTCCTGATCCTTTAGTTTTTTGATCGCGTTCACTGAAGATTATCGAATAGACTTTTGACTTAATGTCCTGGTTTATATAATATTCCTGTTGATAGTTTATATTAGTTTCTGATATAGCCATAATATCGATGCTATTTTCATTAATGAATTCCAATAAGTTATGAAGTTTCTGTATAGTGGGACACTAGCAATCCCATTTATATTGTGTACTGCAATGTTCAACTCTAAAAACATTAAATCTTTCATTTCTTGTTTATTCAAATTTTCCTTAACAAATCTTAGCCTTTGTCTTGCTAAGAATACATTAATACTTTCTTCACTTGTCAATAAATTAACTACTTCTTCTATGTTGTTTTGATTCTTTTAAAAATCCCCCCTTTCAACCGTTAGTTTATTTGTTTCTGGGTATATATTTTCTTTTTCTGCTTCATCACCCGCTTTGTATTCTTTTTGTTATTGTTGTAACTGTTCGTCACTCACGTGCTGTGTTGAGGACGCGTTGTTGTCCTGATTACTCTTGTGAAAATTGCCCAGAACTTGGCATTTTTCACTCCCTTCTGTTATTACTACACGTGTAACTTCATTTATCATCTTGTGTAACCTTCGCTTTTGTTTTTTGCTTAGACCGGCTAAAGAAAAACCCCCAGTAAAATAGTTTAATTTTAAAAAATGTTTACAACATTTTTTGATAATTAAATAAAAAATGTTATAATTTCAATATATTTTTAAATATAAAATAAAATTTAAATATGTTTTAGTAAAAAACATTTTAAGATATAAATGAAATTGATAATTAGTACAATTAATTCCTTTACTTCTATTATAATTATATTAGGCTAAACTAAGCAAATAGTTTGTTAACATAATTCTCCTTCTCTTTTTTGTCTTTAAAATAGTTCTTAAACAACACCTATTGATGAATTTAATTGGATAAAAATTGTAAAAAATCTTGTGACTGTTTAAATGTTATTATATTTCAGCCAATCAAAAATTTATATTTAAGCTATCCTCCTTTTCATCTTTTTAACTTTACATGTTATGTTAAACAAACTTTTTAATTGGTCTGGTCTTACTATATAAATTTACAAATAACATTAAAATAAGTAAAAAAAATATATAATACTAAATATTTATTAATACTAATAAATAATTTTATTTTATTTTTAAGGAAAATGTTAATTTTATTAAAAAAAAAATAGTACAAAAAGTTTATAAATATTTATTCACTATAGACTGATACATATTTAAAATAATTAGAATAACCAAAGTTACAAAAAAAAAGTTAATTATTGAAGCAGAAGTACAGAGTAGAATATTTTATTAGTACCAATTGATTTATTTATCTGCATCTAAACAAATATAATAATTAATAATGCAATAAATTTTTAAGATCTTTGGGCTAATATTATTATAAGGAATAATTTAATATTAATAAACTAATCATGTTCAGTTAAAACTTTTTAAAATAAAAAAATTGTTTATATTTATTGTCATGTTGACTTATAAGGGAATTTATTCCAATTCATTCAAAAATTTAGAAAACGCTAATCCTTTATCTTTCAAACATGAATCATATTCAATTTTATTACCAGGAAAATGAACTTTGTTTATCTATTAAAAGCATTAAGTTTTCAACAATAGCTTATTAATAACTAGAATGATGCATTTCTCTATAAACTTTTAATTCCTGTATTATTTGACACCGTATTCGGATCAGGAACAAATCGTCTTTCATTTTTGCCAGCCGTTAAAATTTCAACTCCCGTTTCTGTTACTAATAAAGTGTGCTCAAATTGTGCACTACGTTTTCCATCTTCAGTTACTGCTGTCCAATTATCTGGCCAATGTCTGTCATGATATGTACCTATAATAAAAAGCATGCGATGTCAACAAATCAATAATAATGTAATTATATTTTGTTAATATTACGCACCAAGATTTATCATTGGCTCGATCGTAAAACAGTGTCCAGGTTTCATCGTTCCGATGGCTTTATTTTCTATAATTAAAATTAAAATTATAAAATATACATTCTATACATTCTATACATTTCATATATTTATAAAAAAAGTTGAAACTTACTCGCATAATGAGGAACATTTGGTGCACAATGAAATAATCTATTTTAAAAATGGGTTAGAATACTATAATATTATAACTAACTAAAAATAAAAATTCTGTGATGTTGTCACACCTATGAATGCCATGGCCACAATAAGTACGGACAACAGAGCAATTATTCGCCTTGGCATTTTTTTCAATAACTGCTCCAAGATCACGATACAAAAATCCTGGTTTCACACAATCGATGGCTTTATCTAAACAATCTTTTGCAGTCTTGATCAACTTTATACTTTCTTCATCAATAATTCCAACCGGATAAGTTTCATTTAAATCTCCATGAAATCCTTTATGATATAAAGACACATCCAGATTAACAATATCTCCCTCCACTAGTTCTCGCCGATCCGGAATTCCATGACAAATAACTAGTAATTATTTAATATGACGTCAGCTGTGTTACGATGAATTGTTTCACGATTTTTTGCGTACCTTCATTCACTGAACTAAAGTGAAATATTATGTTAAAACAAAACAATTTAAATAAATCACGTGACTTAAATTTTATTTATTACGTGCAAACGGATTTTGGAAATTCATAGTAATTCAAAGGCGACGGATACGAGTCACGCTCGATAATAGCTTCATGAATAACTCGATCAATCTCGTCGGTTGTTATTCCAGGTTTTACTGTAGCGGCACCAATATCTAAAACTTCGCGTGCAAGCTAATAATCCAAGAAAAATTAATGTTGCAGAAGCATGACAAGAATAATTATAATAAGTGGTTAAATATTTCTAACCTTGCAAACTGTTCGCACTTCTTCAATTTCTTCTTTATTCAACACTTTTATGAAAGTATTAGCCTTTGCAGTCTTTTCAGACTTTGAAATGCCTATAATATTTATAAAGGACAAAAGTTTAAATATTTCTCTTAATAAAGAAATAATTATACGTTGAAAGAGAACAAAAACCTTGGGGATGATCGGCATAATCCGGTCTTTCTATACGTGAAGGAACTTGTCTTCTTGGAGATAAAGGGTATAATGCACGTAAAGTTCCAGTATATGGAAAATTAGGTATATATAAAGTTTGATGTACCGATTTATGTGTAGGCTGGAAAATAATTCGCGTCAATACTATTACAAGATTTAACGACAATTCACAATATGCGTACCCAATTTTTCTTGAAGCAATCCTGTGAACAAAAGAAAGACCCTGAAATATTTAGTTTTAAACATGTTGGACATTGTAATTTTGCTTCTTTTGTACAGCCAGATCCTTGACATTGTTGTACTTCACTCATTTTCAAGTTGAAATAATTAGAAGAAAAAATAAATAAATGATAATATATTTTTTTCCAAAGGTTAATTGAATAACAAAGGATTAGGTACTAACCTTTTTATATTTCGCATCAGTAATCGGTGGCTTATTTTAACCTTACGCCTAGTAAGTAACAAAAGCGCAGTTGAAGATGTTGATCCAACCAAATATATTATATCCGTTTTCCATTATCATATAATGTAAAAATTAATCAATATTTCAAATAATCAAACAAATTTTATTTATGATTAAATTGATATATACTGATGAATTTCCTTTATTCCATTTCACAACTAATAAAAAACCTCGATATTATATATAATTTTATGATATAATATATATCGATACAATTCTTTTGTTCTTTTATAGTAATGTATAACAACTTAATTATATCGAGATTTTGGTTATATTGAATTATTGATACTTAATTTTGCCTAGCACTGTAAATTTACGATCATATGAGTTTTGAAATTATTATTGGTTGGCCAAAAGGTTAACTATAATGCTAGCAAGAACTAGATTTTGGCCTACATTATAATTTGCTAACGAATTATTATGTACCGATATTAAAATTATTCACTTCCTTCATTTAGATCAATATAAACTATTGTTTCAGATATTATCCCAACTATTTGTAGTTATAATTACAAATTTTCCATTTCCTTTTTTTTTTGATTACATACTATTTACAATATTTGCTTCTTCTTGTTTTATATAAACTAAATGGATGCCGAGTAGTAGTTCGCTTTACCTGTCATTCAAATTTTTTATCTTAATAAAGTATTAATTGTGCTGCAAGCAAAAAAAAAAAAATATAAAAAACTAAATGTGAATTTTTATGTAACTATTGTGCTATAAATCTTATGATATTCTCTCTTCATGTAACTTATATTACTAATTACTATACTCTAAAATTATTAATTTCTACTCTTCTAACATCTTATTATTATAATGTCTACAATAGTAATTTGAGTTTATAATTTGATTCTGGTAAAGCTAAGCTAATTTTGGCCCAAGTACTTCTAGTATCATAAAAAAATTTAAGCTATCCAGTTTAGGTTACGAGATTGATTCTCACATGCGATGAACGGAAAATATATAACAATTTTTTTTTTCTTAATTTTCGTATGTTTCTTTCCTTTACACTAGTGAATATAAAATGTTTGTCTTAAGCACACGTTCTTTGAGCACACGTTTTGGTTTTGTTAACAGTGCCATAGCCACCACGTTAACACAGAGAAATTTTAGTGACAGCCGTACGTTGTATCAAAATAATTTTACCAATTCTATTAGGGAAGTCTCCAATGTTATAAAACGTAGATTTGAGGACGGTAAAATGGCTAGAATTGCTGTGAGTTTAAATTCGAACGGTAATGTTTACAAGATAATTTTCTTATAGTATATGGAATAGTAACGTTAACATATTTATGTAGAAACCGGCACCTAATTGGGAAGCTAAGGCAGTTGTTGGTGGAGATGTTAAAACACTTTCGCTTAAAGACTTTGCTTCTAAATATTTAGTCATGGTTTTTTACCCTTTGGATTTTACTTTTGGTAAATAATATAATATACATTTACACGGTTTTTTATCACATTCTTATTAATTTAAATTTATTATAGTGTGTCCAACCGAATTGATTGCCTTCTCGTAAGTATATATTTGCTAGAGATTAAATTAAATAAAGTCATTGACGCGTAATAAAAATTTAAAAATTTTATAAGGGATCGAGTTCAAGAATTTAGAGATATTAATACAGAAGTAGTTGGTATCTCCTGCGATTCACATCACGCTCATATTGCGTGGGAGTAAGTATTTGTTTAGATTTTCTAATCAATTCAAGCAAAATTTAACTTTTTATAAAAATATTAGTAAAATACCAAAGAATCAAGGCGGACTTGGTGGGATTAAGTAAGTTTTATTTTTGCAATATAAACGCGTTATTTCAAGAATAAAAACATTAAATTAAGTGATCTTAAATAAATTATTTTTAAAGGATCCCTTTGAGTAAGTGATGGTGGAAACGAATTTTAACTAAGGAAAAATTGTGATAACATTTTTTTTTCATGGTAGTTGCCGATCTTAAAAAAGAGATCACAAGAAGATATGGATGCTTGTTTGAAGAAACAGGACATCCTTTTAGGTAACTTACATAGACGTGAAAATAACATATTATTCTTTATATATATTGATAATATTTTATATTTTTTAAAAATACAGAGGAACTTTCATTATTGATGACAAGGTACGTGTGACATTTTGAATTTCTCATGAAACACTATTACTAATTTTCATTATTTCTTTTAGGGAACTCTTCGTGTTGCGCATATCAATGACACCGAAATTGGTAATTATAAAGAATAAATAAAATTTTACACCATTACAATCTAAATTATTGTTCAATCGACTTATAGGTCGATCTGTTGACGAAACACTCCGCCTTGTTAAAGCTATTCAATTCGCAAACGTACACGGAGAAGTTTGTCCAGGTATATATAAGTATAATATACAATAATCATGATTTATCATTCATGATTCAACTTATTAATTTATATTGTGATTATAGCGAATTGGAAAAGTGGAGATCGCACAATAATTCCGGATCCAAAGAAATCCAAGGAATATTTTGCGCAATTAAAGGACGATAAATAAAGGTTAACCATGGTAAAAATCTTTTTACAATTAAATAATAGTATGGAAATTCTTTTTTATTATTAATAAACTTCTCAGAATAGTCTTTAGGAATAAACTCGCATTATCATGTCTCTTCGCAAAATTAATAATTTATCCATGAAATTTATTTCAATTTTATATATAACAATAGATTCACTATACACAAATTACACTTCGGATATCCGTTATCCCCTAAAATGTACTTAAATTGTACTTAAATTATACTTAAAATACTTTTACGTTATGGCACATCCGCCAATCTGCAGAATGCATTGGCGCTGTATTATATATATCCAAAGTATATTTTTAATGGATTACTATAACATTACGAAATAAATTGTTAATTGAGTTAGTGATTTGCGGTACTGTAAATCCCGAATGACCATCCAAATCTGTTCAAACTAACGTAAAGTAAAATTAATAAAGTTTTAAAATACTGCCCTAAAATATTTGCATTATGTTGTTAGTACAACTTGGATAGTCGAAGATGATTAAATTCTACATAATAAGGTTTTATTTGAAAATCTAACTATAAACGCTCATTCGGCATTGCAATGAGTGATAAACTTTTTCATGGTTGGTGAAAAATAAAATGACGATGAAACTTAATGTAAATTAGAATACTAGAAAAGTCTCAATTTTACTGTCGTAAATAATAAGACAGATTGACAGTATAATTTAATGATGTAAAATTTGGTGGAGGAATCAAAATATTGTATTATTGGCTATATAAATTGTGAAACAGTAAACTATGCTTTATAATTGTTAAATAATCGTGTGAACTAAGAATTTCCATTTTGAGGTACACCAATAACTTCAAATGCTTAATCTGGATTGTAATCTATATAATATCTACATTTTAGAAGTGTATTTCATACTTTCATCTAAATTATGCATTCAGATGATCGTAGCACAAGATCCGGCAAAATCTAATATAAATTGAACGCCTTAAAGTCCAATTTTTTAAAAAAAATTGAAATTTTTAATTTTTTTTAACGAAATGTTAACTGATTCCACTACTACGAATGGCCATACTGACAGCTATGCAAAAACAGAAATAATAAAAGAAATTGATGGAAATTCTAGTGCCATTAATGAGAAGGAAGATAAAGAATGGACACCGTTGTCATGGAGAACAAAACCTATAAGACAAGGTGTTGTTTATGATGATCAAGAACATTTACAACGAGTTCTGAATAAATTACAACATTTACCTCCAATGGTTACACCTTCGGAGGTATTTTATATCAAATTTATTTATTTACAAAAAAAATTATCTTTTATGGGGGAGTTATATTTAATTTTGTTTACAGATCCATAGACTTCGAAGTCAACTTAGGCAAGTTGCACTTAATAAAGCGTTTTTATTGCAAGGTGGAGATTGTGCCGAACTTTTTGAGTATTGTTCTCAAGAACCAATTGAATCAAAATTAAAAGTATTACTACAAATGAGTCTAGTTTTAGTTTGGGGCTCTAGAATTCCTGTTATTAGAATTGCTAGAATGGCAGGTCAATATGCTAAACCTCGTTCAAGTCCGACTGAAAAGGTTGAAGGAAAAGAAATTATTTCTTTTCGTGGTGATAATATTAATGGTTACGATCCATCGGATAGAAAACCTGATCCTGAACGTCTTTTGCGGTATGTAAACCACAAATTTTTGATTAAGTTGTGCCTATAATTAGTCTTAATAAATATTATTTTTCTAATAATAAAAAAAAAATAATTAGCGCGTATTTCCATTCTGCTGCCACATTAAATTATGTGAGATCAATTATTGGTTCAGGGTTTGCAGATCTATATCGATTATCAGATTGGTCTTTACATCACGTTCGATCGGATAGAACTAGACAAGAATATCAAACAATAGTTGATCGGTTAACTGATTCACTAGATTTCATGCGTATGATTGGAGCAGATTCCCCGTCGAGTCCATTGAATAGTGTCGATTTGTTTATGTCTCACGAAGGATTATTACTTGATTATGAACAATGTTTAACAAGATTATTACCTGATCCCGAAACTGGTGAAAAAAAGTGGTATAATGTTGGATCTCATTTCTTATGGGTAGGTGATCGTACACGTCAATTAGATGAAGCTCATGTAGAGTATTTTAGAGGAATTCAAAACCCTATTGGGATTAAAGTTGGTCCATCTATGGAATCCAACGAATTGCAAAAGTTATTGGACATCATTAATCCTAATAAGGAAATTGGAAAAGTCACTTTAATTACGCGTTACGGCGCTGATCAGGTTGAAAAATATTTACCAGGTCACATTCAAGCTGTCAAAGCTTCAGGACATATTGTAGTATGGGCATGTGATCCAATGCACGGAAAGTGAGTGTTAATTTAATTAAATGATTAAGCGTGACTGTCGGAATTATTTCATTAACGCGCTCTGAATTTCTTTTTTATTAGTACAAGACAGTCATCATCCGGTGTAAAAACTAGACATTTTAATTCAATCATTGAGGTAATCAATTTATGTCAATTCGTAAGTTTAGTATTTATTTTAGGGAACTAACATTCCTTTTTTTCTTAAGGAATTATCTAAAGTGATACGTATCCATAAAAATAATGATAGTCAAATGAACGGAGTACATTTTGAACTGACTGGCGAAGCTGTAACAGAATGCATTGGAGGTTCAATGCAACTAGCTGATGCTGATTTAGCTTTAAATTATAAAACTTTTTGTGATCCTCGTTTAAATTATGAACAAAGTTTAGATGTTGCTTTCTTAATAGCCAAATATCATGAGAAAGAAAGATCTGGACCTAGTTTGTAATATATAAATAAATATATATATATATTTAAGGTAAGAAATTGTCATTACTAAAGATAATTTTAAAGCTTATTTAACGGAAAATGTTTTAAATCTGTTATTTTATTCCTCCTAACCAATAAACATGAATACAACAACAACTGAAAATTATATTAGATATGAGTCTCTTGTTTCTTATTGGTCTTACCGCAGATATTTAAGCCTTAACCAAGATACCATCATTGCTTCACTAACCCAACTAACTAGATCTTCATTAACATTTAACTTATTAAAAACCTGTTTTGTAGAGGCATGTGGACAAAAAATTTGTGAAAAATTCAAATAACTTTATTATTATTTCGTTTTTTAATATTGCATAATTCAAATAATTTAGAGGATTAAATAAAAGACGTTTATTTATACGAACTCGCAAAATGCATGTAGGCATTTTTTTTGAAATCTGTGTAACGTCAGAACGTGTTAAAAATTTAGCAATTAAATCCTGGTACGTCAATTAAAACGCAATCTTTTTCCTCAAATTCAAATTCTTCGCAGTCCTCATCGGCAACTCCAGATTCATGTGTTAAACATACAAAATCTGTAGTCTATAAATCAAATTGTCACATTTAAAATTTTTAGCAATCTGGATTTCTCAAACATTATTATCACAAATATGAAAAAATTGTATAACTTACTTCTTCTAAAGCGATAATAGGATGATGCCAAATACCAGGGTGATAACTGATTCCTTGAGTGCTTGACACAACAAATGCATTAAGTGTGCTCAAATCTGGCCTATCGCCTTCATCATTACTTAAACACACAACAACCAAATATCCTTTAACTTTACCATTGTTTAATGGTACAAACATTTGTGAAGAATAAGGATGTCTTTCCATTAACCGTAAAATAAATGGAAGAGACTTCGCAGGTGAACATTTAAATAAACTCAAATTAGGTTCAGCTTTAGCGATTATATGAGTTTTATTGCTCGTAGAATTATCAGAGTTGCTAGATTGACTCTGGAAGTCTGATTGGCGGAAATTTATGACTGGAGCGATGTTATTATATTTACGTGCCGTACCTTGATTAGCAGGTGTCACCTTTATAGAATGACTTACTGAGATACAATTTTGAGAAGCGGAAGAATGTTCAGGAAATGATTGAATTATATGTCCGTATGGCGAATAAGAGGCATGAGTTAGTGGGGTAGCCGTGATACGTTTAAGAGAAGTACGAGTTGCGCTTTGTGCTACATTATCGGTCGCATTTTTTGGTAACTCTCTTCGCCCAATAATTCTTAATCGTTTAACCCCTCCGTCTATAAAAAAATAGGCGATAAAATTTAGAAAAGATTTTAAAATAAAAAAAAATATCTTTTCTCACGTATGATGTTATTACCAGGGAAAATTGTCATTTTAACGTGTGAAAACTTTTTATTTTTTTCTTTTAACTCGAAATAATGTTGTTTATGAGGTCCAAGTTTATTTCTTTCAAATAAAGTGACCCATTGGTTGGATTCAATATTTTCTAACGATAAATCTTTATCGCAAAAACATCCTTCAAGTAAAACACTATCAGGATAATTTCCTTTAAAAAATGCAGTGTCAATTTCAGCTTTTTCCAAATAACCCGGAGCTCCTAATTTAATTATTACCCAATCCTTATGGTTAGGCTGACGGGAACGTTTTGTTTCCCATCCGTCGCTCATATCCTTTCCACGGCCTGGTAATAAAAGGTTATCTGATTTACCAAAATGCTGATCACTATGGAAAATAACTCGACCTTCGTTTCCTACATATGCTAAATCTATTGGTGTGGAGGGATCTATTGGCCATTTTGCACTTACAACTCCATATACCCTAAATCGTGCTACACCACCATCAGGATAAATATTTAATTTAACATGAGTAAATTTTACGGAAGTTTTTTGTATCCCAAAAAAATGTTGGGAACTTGGACCTAAGTTAACTTTAGACAATACTTTATGCCACTAAAATAAATAAATAAATAAATAAATTAGTAGTAAGTAAAAAATATTTATACATGTATTTTAATAATAATAATAAAAAAATTTTTACATTAGTATCATCCCCATAAATTGGATCTTTATGAGGAGAATAACAAGCTTCAACATCTGCTAAAGGAGCATGATTTCCTACGAAATGCGCAGTATTTATGTCAAATCCTGTTAAATAACCTTCGAAACCCAATTTAATCACGACCCTGTGAGAAATAACGAAAATTAACTTATCGCCAATTTTGAGTGAATTTTAAGCATAATATACGAGTTATTTACCAATCGTAAGAGGGACTGTGACGTTTAGTCTCCCAACCGTCCATCCATGCTCCACGTTCTAATATAAAAAAATTTAATAACAAAAAAAAAAAAAATTTGTGTTACAGTTTTTCTTTACTTACCGGTATATCTACCCCATTCTCTAATAGGTTCTTGTGGTTTAAGTAAATTAAAAGCTTCCGCAAAAAATTCATCATTACATTCAATTACTTTTCCACCTAAGGTAGAACTTGCCAAATCTTTTTTTTTTTAAAAGAAAAAAAAAAAATTATTTTTGTTTTTTGTTTGTAATTGTTTCTATAACGAAAATTTTATTTCATGACAATTACCAACGAATTCCTTATCAAGTTGACTAACACCTTCTATAATATCAAGAATGCGAAAATTAATTTTTGGATTATTAAATTCCTCCATTTTTTAAACGATGTTTATTTGATTTTTTAATTAACACTGGTGGACGGAGGCATTGTATATATATATATATAATTTCCTTAACGATTTGCGGGTATCATGGGATCAAAGTATCTTTTTATTATCCTTCAGATTATCCGGATAATCCACTTATTTAAGTTTGACTAAGGAAATGTATCAAATCTTCATATGCGTATCGTATATAAAAATGTCTTTTCCCGAAAGTATAATGGGTGTACAACATAAAGTTTAAGACTGGCGTCAAAAAAAAATTTTAAGCCAATGAACCTATTGATAAATAATTATGTAATTCATCAAAGTTGGGAATTAGATTCATTTTATGACTGACAGCTTTAATTATTAAAATATTTTCTAGCCTATTCAATACAGAAGTATATTGTTCATTTGTCAGTAAACGAGAATTTAACTAGTAAATCCATTAGAGATTTATATTTTTTTGCTAAATATAATATATAATACTATAATAGAGAAGAATTTTTTTCTTTTACGATACGTTGGTACCAATTGTTACTTCTGTAAGGGGGGGGGGATTCATTGTGTTCAGCCAAATTTGCAGGAGATAGAATCACGAGAAAAAAAACGCATTATTTAAAAGATATACATAAAAAGGTATGGGGTACGGATATAATCGTGTAGATCTTTCCTTTAGATAATGCCAGAATTTACTAGAATTTGTTGCCTTTTAAGATACAGTACCTTTTTTTAATATTCTTATTCATCGTATTAATATTCTTATCTATCATATTAATATTCTTATCTATCGTATTAATATTCTTATCTATCATATTAATATTCTTATCTATCATATTAATATTATAAATTGAAAGGTGTTAGTAATAATTTAATTGAAACTCATTTCTTTAATTAAAAATACATTAAATAATTAAATTACATTTTATTTACTTATATTATAATAAATTTAACTGGTATTACATGCAATAATTAATAAGAAAATATAATTTTAAAAAAATTTCTTATATAGTGTTTTAATATAACATCTACTCCAATCTTATCTATCTTTTTTAATTTTCTTTTATTAATAATAATAATTTACAGTATTATTTTGCAAAAAAATTTAAATTTTTATCATAATAATACCAGAAGTCTATATTTGACAATAAAATTAAGATGATTAAAAAACTTTTAGAATTATAAAAAATTAAAATTTTATAAATTTAAACTGATAACTTTATTCTTTAAAATGAATTCTATTAAACTACCAGTTAGATTTTGAAAGATGTTTAAATAAAAGGTTATTAATATTTAAATTTGAATTTCAATTTGAAATAAATCACCAATATCATTTAAATGCAATCTTATTGGTTAAAAATTTTCATAATCTGGGCTGAAATTGTAATTTTATAATACTGCTAGCTTAAGTTATAATAATTAAATATTTTTTAAAAAAATGATAGATTATAAAAAATTATTACAAATAATATTAATTTAAATAATTATTTTTTTTTAAAAAAAAAATATATTTAATAATTTAAATATATCTTATTTATTCAAATATATGTATAGTTTAATCAAAATCTAACTAATTTCTAGTTACATAATTAAGGATCGATTTTAAAAAATTTAAATAAAATTATATGATTATCAAGTATAAACTTTTAGTAAGGCCGATCCAATTTGATCATATATTTAACATAACCCCCCCTATCTAATAGCTGAATTTGAAAAGAAAATCAACAGTATATAAAATTCTATTTTTAGGTATATTTGTACTATTAATTTTCCATTTTTAGAATTTAAACATTCGGAAATATTTACACATATTAAAATTAAAAATTGCGCGTACTGCACAGTAATGTTGAGTAAACTTTTTCTTACATCTTAAAATATGCGTTTAATTGTCACAGTCAAAGAAGGTGTTGAAGATATTGTTAAACCAAATCTTATAAAAGTTGATGATTATTATTTTGAGAGCCTTTTTCATAAAATTACACTAGATGCATATAGACAAAAAAATTTGAAATATATTGCCGGGTGGATGAAAAATCTTCATGGGTTTATATTGAAAACTCAGATGATCTTATAACAGAAATGATTCAAGGATTTAAATTTACGGAATTAAGGTTTAAAATTTGTTCATTAGCAGATTATTCAGTTGCACCTAGAAGAAATGCGTTAGACCTTATAATGTAAAATGCATTACAACTAAAATTATCAAATCAAAAGCAACTCCAAATTACACAAAATGATCTTCTATATAATGAAATAATCATTCTTTTTGAAAATAAAAAAGTTGGTTGGACTGGTGGATTACATTTATCAGTAAGTGTAAAATGTATTGAAAGACTAGCAAAAATTTTGTAGTATATTGATCCACATCTTAAGAAATTTGCCAAACATGTGTGCCATTTGCTAAATTTATTTACAGAATTGTTAACGTATGAACAAAATCAAAGTTATAATCAATATTATTCTGTTACACATCATAAACATGAAGAAGTTTCACATGAAAAATTGAATAAGCTAATAAAGTCTTTTGAACTTAGCATTACACAACCTTGAAAACAAGATACTCTTTGGGCTTTATTAATAGAAGATTTGTATAAGCTAATAGAAATGGTTAAAAAATATATGATTTATCTTGAACAAGTCAATAATTCAATGAATAAATTACATAAATCATTAGAACCAGCACGAAATGGGATAGAAAATATTATGGTTAAAATTATTGAAGCTTGTAACCAATCAGATTCTATCTATGATGACTTAAATTTTGCGATTTCAAATTTGGAGGATTATAAATATATTAATATTGAAAGATATCTTCCAGAACAAGGCATCGGTTTATAAAGAATTTAGAATTGATATTTCCAATAGGTTTTTATCAGTATCATGCTAGTAATTATCTTGGAACTACAACTTTTATATGGAAAATACCAATTGAAGTTAATAATCGTACAGAAATACAAAATGCACAAACATTATTATCTATACAAGACCTTATACCTCATTATTTTACACGTCAAATGCAAAAAATATGCTTGAAAGGATACATTTAGCCAACAACTCAATCAATATGTCCATCATTTTCATCATTTTTTAATGTAACATTTTATTTTTAGTATTCGTTAGTTGCTAAAGTTACTTCAATTTTATTGCGTAATCTATATCATGATTTAACTGGAGATGCAACAATAGCACCAAATTATATCACAAAAGAATTAGATGAAAGACTCTGATGGATGTTAACACTACAGGATCCTAATATTACAGTGGACTTAATAAGAATTAATAATGGATTCAAAGGAACATCATTTAATATTTTTTGGGAAAAAGTTGATTCTTACTTTAATGAAGTAATTCAGATTAAATTACAACTTTATTATTACTAATATTCTGAAAAAAATCTGATCCGATTCGTATTCACAGATCTGATTTGAGACAGATCACTGAGAACCTGGCTTCAGAAAACCTTTAAAAAAATTACTATTAGTGAAACTGCCTTGGATCGAGAACAAAGGCTTCCAAGTCCCATAAAACTAGAACAATCCAGAATTTCAAATCCCAATGATTACTTTGTATGGGTGATCTAATAGATATGTGTGTATCTGGATGGAAATTTTCTCATAATGAGATTTATAATGCAATTCAGGCAATAATTACCTGTATTCAAATGACATCAAGATTATGGATGCTCAAAACAGAAGATACGAATGGTAGACTATATTTTGATATAGTGCTAAAACTAGATTTTGCCAAGTATGAAGTTAACTTAATTGAGCTAGGAGGAGAGCCAGTGAAGTTAATTAATCTAATAGATTGGACGGTTACCAAAGGTCTAATCCTTTACCACAATATTAATTTTCTTCTATATTCGCTAAATACTCCAGCTCATGATACGAAGTTCTTTAATCTTTTCATAGGATTTTTGGCTAAGCCAGTGCTAGAAATTAATAAAGAAATTATAGATCCGATTCTCTAGCATGTAAAGAACGTAATCTGTAGTGGAAATGAAAAACTTGACGAATATATCTGAAACTGGTGGGCACATTTAATGCATAAACCAGAGATGAAACCCCAGACAATCTTGGTACTAAAATCTACATTACAACAGTATGAGAAAAATATTATTACTGACTTTATTGGTAGAGGTCACATCTCCATTTTGCAACTTCAGATTTGAAAAAAATTCTTAGACATTTTAATAGTGCCATTCAAGCTCGAAAGCTAATTATCATAAATGAGACAGGGATGTCTAGTAGAGAATGGCATAGATTTAATGAAAATCTCAAATCACTCATAATAGAACGAATGGTAGCTATAAAGTGTAAGGGTCTTGAAACTATACGAATAAATGATTATGTTGGATATATGGTTACAAGCAATCAGGATACTCCGCTCAAAATAGACATAGGTGATTCTCGTATAGTCTGTTTTAATGTCTCTGCATGCTGTAGAGATAATATACCATATTTTGACTGGCTAGAGGATATTCTAGACCATCCTAATGCATCTGGAGTAGTCATGTCATATCTCCTTAGCCGTGATTTATCAAATTGGAGTTCAGAAAAAATTCCTGCAACTAAGGTAAAGATAAAAATAATGCGAGAGCAACTATCTAATCCTATTCGATTTATAATTAATTATATTACAACTTGGCCTGAAAATCAGATTAGCAGGTTTGGCTGTGAAAAAGTATACCAGGATTATCTCGAATGGTGCGGGTCTAATGGGAAAAAGCCATTAACTAGTAAGGTTGCTGGTAAGAAATTTTCACTAATTAGTATTGATCAGACATATTCACGAAATAATGGAGTAAAAGTATATCAGTATATTCTCAATCACCACAAAATTGTAGCCAAGCTCCGTGAATCTGGCCTAAGCGATATAGAAGAATTTTCTGATATACCTCAGCCTGACTTATCTGAAAATGAGATAGCAGACATACCCATATTCAATGTGCCAGAAACGGTCCTAGAGGGACCAATTATTCTCCAGAAAATAATCCTGCCTCAGCCAAAAAAAAATCTCCATCCAAGAGGTAAGAAAGCGAATAAACAGGACAATTCAACTCAAGCTCTTTTCGACTATATAGTAGAACAGGCAAAAGTCCCAATCACCTCAACATCTAGAACATTCGAGACTTCTAATTTATTTGAAAGTAACAATCTTTTGAGACCTGTGGTCAAAAAAAGTGCTAGACGACAACGAGAAGAGCATTTCAGAAAATGGGCTATCGATCACAGTCAAGATCCAGATATATTCATGACTATTACAGAGAAAGATGTTAACCTATCCTGAGAATATCAAGACAGGATGATAGCAGACGCAAATGTGATCGACTTTGCGAAAGAAAACAAAATGAACCTGAACAATTTATTTTACATGATTAGAAGGGAAAGGTTAATAAGCAAAGAAATATATCTCTGGGAGTACAAAGATGTGAGAAAGCCCTGGGAGTATGTTTACGATGATGAGGAATGGCAAAAAAATATAAGCATACTCCAGGAGAATGGTATGCTTTGGTAAAGAGCAAATAGGAGTGGGTTATGAAATATTAGTAGGGATGGGACTTTTGTTCTTTACAATTAGGCGATATAAAATCCCAAATTATTATTTTTTTTGCATATTTTATCTACCCGCAATTTTCAAATACTTTGCTGAAACTTGGAGTTTACAATCGATATTGATTAGATATCGCAATGATATCATTACGATATCATTACGATATTTTGATAAAATATAGATTCGACATCGTTAAGTTAGTCGTAACTGTATTTATTCGATATTGATTAGTTTATATCTCTGCGATATCGCTGTGATCATTATGCGATGTAAATATTATCACGTAACCACATCGTAGTGATGTCGTATTAACATTGAATTAATATTACAAAAATATTTGACATTTATTTGATATCGTAACCACATCGTAGTGATGTCATATTAATATTGAATTAATATTACAAAATATTTGACATTTTATTTGATATCGTAACCACATCGTAGTGATATCATATTAACATCGAATTAATATTGCAAAAATATTTTACATCTATTTGATATCGTAACCACATCGTAGTGATGTCGTATTAACATTGAATTAATATTACAATTTTATTTGATATCGTAACTACATCATAATAATATCATATTAATATCGAATTAATATTACAAAAAATGTTTTACATTTATTTAATATCGTAACTACATCGTAATGATATTATATCAACACTGAATTAACATCACAAAAATATTTTTATTGTAATATATGTTTATTATTTATTATACATTAATAATAATAATTTTTTATTAGTGAATTATTATAGGTGAGTGGAGTACGTTTCTTTTCTTCCTTTTTCTTCTCTTTTTTATTCTTTTCTTTTCATATGTGAGTGGATAGATAAAAAATATATATATATATAAAAAAAACAATCATGATTAATAAAATGTATTCTTTGTAAAATATATTTAAAATTTAATACATAACCTTGGGATAATAGTTAGAGCAGGTAATTCTGGGATTTTGTAAAGAATAATAAAAATGATAATATTTTTAAGTTAGTTCTTTCTTTAAATTTTTTTGAGAGTGTTTTGTTTCTTAAAATCATAATATTGTAAAAAAATGCTGGTTGCTACGACTGACGGACAACGACAAATTGTTAGGCTACCCCCGGACAAAGTAATTGGAAGGCGGAAAATGCCATAAATATCCAGCCCTATTTTACAACATTTTCTTTCAGGCTAAAGCAAATATTACAAAAGAAATTGCAAATATATTTAACAAGCAATAGATACATGGCC